TATATTCAACTGTGCATATAATTGTTAAAACGAACATGCTTTGAGAGTCTGCCGTGCTCCTCTTGTCTGGCAGGCACCACTTGCTGCACACAGACTGTGACAAATTGGGATGTGGGGTGACAAATGGCCGAATCAACAGGACACGCCTCCTGAGAAGAGCTTCTGTCCCTGAGACGCTGGGCGTGAGGACAGCAATGGAGAGCATGAACAAGGTTAAATCCTGGTAAAAACTTTTCCACCACCTTATACGTGACCTGCGTGGTTTGTCCCTTCATAGAAATGATGCTGCTGCTCGGACAGAGGAAAAATCTAGTTCAATTAAATGTTTAATTTAAGAGTGACTGGGGAATTCAGTCGTCTTAGCTAAAAACTTAAGACAACTGAAATCCCTGGGGTTTATTGGAAAGCACTGGATAGAAAAAGCCTGAAAATGATCTGCATTATTTCCTTCCATTTCACAATCAGGCTCTACTAGTCCATCACATAGAATTATAGGAAGGTTGACTGAGGTGTGCAGTGGAAATGTGACGAAATGCAGAGTTTCCAATCAATGCTGTAAGGCACATTCCATTTTAAGGTTCAACAGGGAGGCAGAAAGAAATGTAAAAGAAGTAACCTTCGCATTTGAACATGCAGCAGAAAGCACAATCGCTCTGCTGTACCCGAGCCAGATGCAAATTGCATAGGAAGCCATTTGAAATTCAAAAGGGGGGAATCTACAAATTGAGCACAGAAGGTGAATTTTGCAAGGCAGTTGATACTGGACACTGATTGTGATTAATATTAGCAGCACACATGAAGGAATGTTAGGCAACTGTGTAAACCTGCAGCCTCGCTACTTTTCAACATCTATCCAATTAATAACAATCAGTTGGCGCTAATTCTCGACATGCATTCCTCAAGAAACGATGTCTTTGGATAGAAGAGTTGATGAACACACTGAGGGCCCACCTGTGATTTATCACAACCGTTAGAAAAACATTTGTCCCCATAGGTTAGCTTGATACATTTAGGAGCAAATGAAAGGAGAAACAGATACAGGGTCTTGTAAAAATAGTCATATCCTTGTAACTCTCTCATATTTCTTTTAATGTATCTTTTAGTTATATTCTGTGTGACAAACAACGTTGTGCATAATCGGAAATGGAAATATGAAATTTATTTCATAAATTATTGCAAAGTGTGGCATATGAGCTTGCATTTATGCTCAATATCCCAATAAATCATCTACAACATGAGTAGAGAGTCTGTTTGGGATTAGCTCTCCAAGGATAAAGGAGGGGGAATTGTACTTGACACCTTGTCTGTTTGAGACTCTTCTTTTGGAGAAATACAGTGAGTTCTTCCAGCTTCGGTGCCCAGTTCCAACACTGTCTGCTAGCACTGATCAATGGGGTGGTTGACACTTCTTGTCACAAAACTACTGAAGAGGCTCCCAATACTTTTAGACTACATATCAGGTTTAATGTAAGGGTCCTCAGTTAAAGACAAGATCAAAGTACTCTTTAACAAACAGCCAAGCTTGGCCTGCTAATGGCATTTAACACTAATGTTATTATAATATGGAGGGGATATTTAACAGTTTCTTTTCTTTTTTTTTTTATTTTGTTAGAACTGAATTTGAAGTTTTGTCTTTAGGATTTAAAATAAATACAGAACACATCTGAAATGAATGATTCAACGCTAAACAGGGATTCCTCAAAACACAGTTTTGTATAAATCAAACATTATTCTTTTTTCTTTTTTCCAAAAAAGGCTTGAATGCACTTCTGACTTCATTTATTTCCAGCAAAAATATGGACCAAAAAATTACTAAAAATCTCTTAAAACCTGAAGTAAAATGAAAGTGAGATTAATCTGATGCTTAAGTATAAAATGTGGTCAAAACAGTGATCACAGAGTGATCAAGAAACAATTTTATAAAACTTTCAAACAATACAACGCACCTTTGAAAAAACCATTAACATTATATGTGTTCTTATCTCTTAAATGAAATGGACGCTCTAAATTTACTAAAGTTATCTAAACAATTCTGGATCACTGTGCTCTGATTACAGGGTCCTTAGAACACAGCTTGTTATTTATAAAAAACTATGAAACTCTTTATTGTTGTAAAGACACGTGTTATTCAAAATTTCATTAAAAGTATATTTCAAATCTCATTTCCTTTTGATCTGGTGATTCCAATATTGCAAATTGTCGGGTCTTTTCAGCTGGATAAATACTTTAAATCATCCAGAGTACAAGCCTGGGGGAATGGAGAGGGGCAGTCAAGTAAAAAGATTGACCTCTGGTCAGATCAGACATAACTTGAACTTTTTTTACTAAGGGCAATACACAGCCATGTCTTAATAAAAATGGTGGGCACATCATTATTCTCTAGGATGGCTTTCTTCATCAGGGTTAGTCGGGTTGGGCATCATTTAGTCACCTTAAATATACATAAGTCATCTTAAATCTCTGTCTTATTACTTTTTTTCCTCGTGCTACTGTATATATGTGGACGCACCCTATATACCTCATGCATCTTTTCCTCCTTTTGGCACCTTCTTTTGACTATTTAACCAATGTGACAAGTGAATTTCTCCACTGTGAGATCAATAAAGTCTATCTTATAATTTAAATTTGAATGTTTCTGATTGCTAATTTTGATTCTGGCTCCCTTTGATGAATGATTCTGTTTCTTTTAAGAGGAATGATGATCAAATTTAACATGTTTAAAGAAGTTGGCTAATCAGAGTTCTGTGTGGATAAAATAGTTTGACATTTTAATTGAACTTTACTTACTTAAACATTTAACTATGTGCAAACGCTTCTATAAAACATCCCATGGTTATTTTCAACCAGTATATTAATATAACTCAAATGTAAATAATGAATTTTCTATTTACACAGTTTAAATTTCATATTACCGGTAACCTTTCTACTTGAGAAAAATTATTAAAACCTTTTCCTATATCCAGTATCTGATGCTGCATGTACTAATGCCATATAAGACCATTCTATTAGGTTATTTACCCGATTCTAAATATGGTGCAGTGCTTGGCTGAGTGCCACAGCTGGAGGAAAACCATTGTGTCGTGATATGGAAAGTATCCCAACATATCCTCAGCTTTGTTTATTGCACCTCAGTTTAACTTGACTGTGAAAATTGTTTTACTTTTATAGAGAGAGGAACAATCAGCTTTTTTAGCTACTTGGTCGCTCAGTTAGACACTTAGATTTATTTTGTCATTTTGTATACACGAGTTTATACAAAAATATATTTAGTTTAAAACAGATCTAGACAATTTCATTTTGTGCAGTCTTGAAAAACAGTAAAAAACAAAAAAAAGAACAAAAAAGTTATATAAACAAATGACTGTATATTTACAGTTCTAAACATTTATATATATATATATATATATATATATATATATATATATATATATATATATATATATATATATATATATATAAATATATATATACACCGGTAATAACCCATTTTACACAAAAAAACACAAAAAAGTTAGTGGGTTTCAAAAAAATTCCAAATGAAATAAAATCATCTAGATCTAGATGAAAGTGCTTTTCATTCTTTAAAAGAGGCAAGTATCTGTTAAAAACACAGTAAAATGAAGAAAGGGATAAAAAGGTTTTCATTGTGGAATATTTACTATGAATGCAAGGGGAAGCAAACTCCCTTAGGTAGCCTAACTTTGCACAACACTGGTGTAGGAGGTTCAACCATTTTAGCTGTACACCACCTGTTGCATAATATAATCCAATCAAAAGTGACGCTCCAAGCCGACTGGTCATGTCTTTAATCAACATTAAGACACACTTTTCAATGCTGCCCCACACACACTACAACCAATTCTTCTTCTCTGACTTTCAAGCAGCTTTTTCTTCTTGTCGGCTGACCGGACATTGAAATTAGGAATTGCATATTAAAAATTGGAACAATTATGAGAAAAGGGAAAGGTTAGAACCACTTCCAATCTAATCTGGATTCTATACAATATTCTATACAAAATACAGCCCTATCCTGAAAGAAAAGCTGCAGGGGGGTGTAAAGGACTTTAAAACAACCAGAGCTACAACAGAATAAGAAATGTTGTTTGTGTCAGAACAGCCTAATCAGAATCAGGCTTAAATGTAATGCATAAACCGTAGGGAGACTTAAAACAATAATATTCAAAGAAGCAATAAATCCAATCGAAATAAGCTTGATCTATTTTGCAAAGATTAAAAAAAATAAAATAAAATAAAATATCAAAATCACAGAGTCGAAAAAAGAAAAAATATTCCTTCGATGTGCAAAGCTGAACACACTGAATATATATCTTCATAGGAGCATAAATATATACAGCATGTATGGTATATTACAGAAGAAAACTCAGATTTGACTGTTAGCATGAGGAGATGAAAGCAGCTAAGCGCTATAAACAGCCTTGTTGATATGACAACATGGATCAAGCTCAGCTGGGGCGTCTATCCTTGCGCTCAGCCGACGGTCTTTACAGAACATTTCCGAGGGCCCCATCAACGGCTCCGGGAGAGTCTGATGGAGTATGTCAGCACCATCTATTCAGTAGAGCTGTCAACGCCAGCTTTGTATTAACCATCTTTCAAACGAGGCACAAAACACAAACAAGCCCTGAGGGACACGTGTCATAATAATATATTTGCCAAAGGTTCCAAAGGATATCAACAAGCAACAAGAATAAAAGACAGGCAATAGCATCTTGCTTTTCTACTTCTTTAGTCTCTTCAGATTTCCCTTTAGTTGTATTCCAATTAGGGGCAAATAGGCATCAACAAAAGCAGAAGCAATTAAGTTAAATGCTCTTCTTCTCTCACGATAGTCTGCACCAGGAGTTCATGATGTTTGCTGTGGAGGCATGAAAAGACTGGTCCTGTCGTGACTCGTAATCTTTATGTTGTATTATTCTCTGATAATGAGCCATGTACGCGGCATGCATATCATTCATGAAAAAAAAACGAAACCACATTACCTTGGAGCATTGCTTGTGATTCTGGCACCACACCAACGAGCCATTATTCTGCAAACGAGAAGGGAAAACATCATTATTCATCAGGAGATACTGTTGAAAAAACATTTGCACCGATCAAGTCATCAAAATGCACAGAGGTCTTCTCTTCTGTCACAACATATATCCTCACACTGCTTAGCCTGAAGCACGGCCCTCCTGGTGATTGATTAGAGTAATGTGTAAGTCTGAGTCAGAGCGTCTCCACCCAAGGAGGAGAAGTGGGTTGCAGCACACCTCTGGTCAGTTTCAGGAGAGCGCGGTGACCTCGGCTCCTCTGAGGATTTGTTTGATCTCTCAACACACGTTCCTGAAGTCAGCGAGTGCAAAGCTGATGTAAGCAGTACTGGGTAGACTGCACATGCTCCATCTAATTTATTTCAAGGTGGCTCCTCTTGCCCTCCTACAAACCAAACACTTAGTTCACACAGCTAAGCCTATTCTTAAAGAGTAAGTGTATAAAGATGTAAGCTTATCCAGTAAAGGTTCAGGAGAGGTAAAATCAGCTGTCCAGGAGGTCAATTTCCTGTAGCCCTTATGGTGAATTGCTTTTTTATTTTCGTATAAAACAGTGCAGCCTGTTAGTCTAAGATCTCTTCACAGGTCTATGGTCATTTTCCCCAAACCCAATCAATTTCAAATACATTACTACCCTGTCTGCTGGTTGTTTAGTACAGACTGAGCATTACTCTATACCCCCCAGAAGGATATTTCATAATTAATATCTAATTTTCTATGTCTCAGCCATACAGTACTCTTAGGAAATGTGGACATATCAGATCAATTAATAACATTTAGAAGCCCGGGGGTCACTATCTTTATTATAGTTTGCTTCAGTGGCCTCATCTGTCATGACCTGTAAAATTAGAAGGTTGATATAAACTATTAATAGCCTCAAACATGATTTTCATTTTCAATGGAAAATGTGTGCTGTTAACGTTCACTCCTAATTACAAGAAACATTTTTAATGAGACTCATCTCCCTAGTCACAATTCTAAGGCAAGGCAACCCCCGAGTCTTTATAGCATCAGGCCAAGTCAAGTCTTAGTCTTATTTTTTTCAGTACAACTCTGAAACTTGAGTCCCCATCTCTGATGGACATGAATATCTGCTCTGATAAGACTGCCCCTATTCCAAAAGTGTATTTTTCAGGAGCTTCATTTAAAATCAATCTAGGTTTCATGTAATAGATGTGGGCAAGAAGTTGTCACCTACCATATAAACAACTTAATCGTTGATCAAATGTACGAATTAAGCATTACCGGTATCTATAAAGTCCTTTCTGGGATTTAGTAGTTTTTTTCTGTTTTTCTTAAACAACTCTAAAACCTCATCGGCAAGTTTGAAAAAATTTAGGTTCATGTAGGTATTATTTGTGTGCTTCTACAATCTTAAAACAGTTTAAGAGTTGACTAAAGCACTAAAGAAACTGAGTACTTTCCTCATCAAAAAGCTACAAATTTTTGAATATGTCTGGAACATGTGATCCATCCACTGTAAATATAACACTGTTTCTTGCTTCTCTGCTTCCCATTTCAATACCTCTAAATGACTGATGAGGGATCATATGCTGAAATTCAGAAAGTTCAGAGTTCCCATAGAAAAGTTTGTTCTAGTCAATGACCTGGAACATGGGTTGGGATTTGGAGGTTCCCAATTCTCTCCATAAAATGAAGCTGTGAAAAGACGTCCCAACTTCAGGGATCCACAAGCAAACTGTCTGCTTTGGTTCAATGTCAAGTTCAAAGCCTTTTCTCACAATGTAATCCAGAAGAAATTTCCCACGAGACCCTGGCAGGGAAGTTATCATTACAGGGTTTTAATTTGACAACCAGTGCCAGTAAGTGTGTGCTTTTAAAGTCAAGGATAGCGGTCAAATGGCTTCAAAGGGATCCCTGATTGGACGGTCGTGTCTTGAGAGAATCTCCCTCACAAAAAGCGGCTGATAAGGATGAAAAATATATAAAGTCTGAGCACTAATGAGACCTGGGATAGTTGTTTCTGTTCCCAAGCAGAGATGAAATAGGAGCTCATTTGACTCAAGGGTTTGTTGTCCATCAGTTAGCTTTCAGTCCTTTTGGTGACATAGAACACCTGTGCTTTGTTGGGCCAAATGCGGATTAAATCATTGTTTATTACTCACCAGTGCATCATTCTGCTCAATACAGCACGAGCAAAGGCCTTGTGGAGTTCACAATGATTTTTATTTAAATGGCAAGACCCACAAAGCCAAACCCCACTGGTGTCACAATAAAACTCAGACATTTACCCTGGCAAGCAAAGCCTTCAGATAATTTATGCAGTTTGTCACAACTGTAGACTGCATCCTAAATCATTGGTCCTGTTTCTGACGCCTCTCGGCCCCATTCATCAGCAAAGACAGGAGCAGATCCGTAAAGGAGCTAATTTTGCTGTGTGACAGCATGCCCGTTACAGAGAGGCTCAGCAGGATGTTGCCCCAGCTGTCCAGACCTGACCCCACCATTTCAGGGACCAACGAGGGAATAATTATAGGTCAGGACTTCATCCCCCTGACTCACCACGACATTCCTCTGCTCTCCGAACATTATGCAGAGCTGACGAGTGTCAAGGACTTCAGCGAATTAATTCTTTCCAGATATTCTCTGATGCGACTGGGAGTATTGGCGGGAGGGGGGGTCGATAGGCTGGGCAGTGAGTCTAAGAACGAGCAAAGGTGAACTGAGCTGTATTGGTGACAGAAGTGTGACTCGAGGAGCATGTAAAGAGGACGTGTATCACAGACATTCATTATGGGTGTTGTCAGCGGACGAGTCGGAGCAGGTGGCCAGAGGCGTGTTGCATTGTCTAGAATACTGAGAGGAACTAAGAGGACAAAACTCCTTTTATCTTCGAGGATATCAGTCCTTCTTTTGAAATCGTAAATCTCCTTTTCTTTGGGGCTTTTCACCAGGATTAAATGCATCCCCTGCTTGCATTTAGTCTTGTCTATATAATTTCTACCTTTAAATAATGGAAAGCACCCCCTGGTCTATTAGATACTTTATTTAGTTCTTGTCAGGAGAAAAAACTTCAAAGGAAAGCTAACGTGTCTTTTACATCTCACAGGTCTTTAGATAACTTCAGCTGCATCGTAATTTATCAGAACTAAGATAAAAGGCTGAAACTTTCATTTGTACTAATATTAAACCATAGCTACACTATATTTCCAAAAGTATTTGCTCACCTGCCTTGACTCACATATGAGCTTAAGTGACATCCCGTTCCTAATCCATAGGGTTCAATATGACGTCGGTCCACCCTTTGCAGCTAGAACAGCTTCAACTCTTCTGGGAAGGCTGTCCACAAGGTTTAGGAGTGTGTTTATGGGAATTTTTGACCATTCTTCCAGAAGCGCATTTGTGAGGTCGCACACTGATGTTGGACGAGAAGGCCTGGCTCTCAGTCTCCGCTCTAATTCATCCCAAAGGTGTTCTATCGGGTTGAGGTCAGGACTCTGTGCAGGCCAGTCAAGTTCATCCACACCAGACTCTGTCATCCATGTCTTTATGGACCTTGCTTTGAGCACTGGTGCACAGTCATGTTGGAAGAGGAAGGGGCCAGCTCCAAACTGTTCCCACAAAGTTGGGAGCATGGAATTGTCCAAAATGTCTTGGTATGCTGAAGCATTCAGAGTTCCTTTCACTGGAACTAAGGGGCCAAGCCCAGCTCCTGAAAAACAACCCCACACCATAATCCCCCCTCCACCAAACTTTACACTTGGCACAATGCAGTCAGACAAGTACCGTTCTCCTGGCAACCACCAAACCCAGACCCGTCCATCAGATTGCCAGATGGAGAAGCGCGATTCGTCACTCCAGAGAACGCGTCTCCACTGCTCTAGAGTCCAGTGGCGGCGTGCTTTACACCACCGCATCCGACGCTTTGCATTGCACTTGGTGATGTATGGCTTGGATGCAGCTGCTCGACCATGGAAACCCATTCCATGAAGCTCTCTGCGCACTGTTCTTGAGCTAATCTGAAGGCCACATGAAGTTTGGAGGTCTGTAGTGATTGACTCTGCAGAAAGTTGGCGACCTCTTCGCACTATGCGCGTCAGCATCCGCTGACCCCGCTCCGTCAGTTTACGTGGCCTACCACTTCGTGGCTGAGTTGCTGTCGTTCCCAAACACTTCCATTTTCTTATAATACAGCTGACAGTTGACTGTGGAATATTTAGGAGCGAGGAAATTTCACGACTGGATTTGTTGCACAGGTGGCATCCTATCACAGTTCCACGCTGGAATTCACTGAGCTCCTGAGAGCGACCCATTCTTTCACAAATGTTTGTAAAAACAGTCTGCATGCCTAGGTGCTTGAATTTATACACCTGTGGCCATGGAAGTGATTGGAACACCTGATTCCAATAATTTGGATGGGTGAGCAAATACTTTTGGCAATATAGTGTATATATATATATATATATATATATATATATATATATATATATATATATATATATATATATATATATATATATATATATATATATATTTGAACTAGTGGTATTAAGCAGGAAATCAACTGGATTTATAGCTATTTTATAAAAATTGGAACATTTGACACAACAGCAAAACTTTTCCATCCATCCAACTTCTATACCTGCTTATCTTTGACGGGTCATGGCATGGGGGGGGGGGGGGGGGGGTACCTATTCTCAGCTCTTAAACACAAATGGCGGGGTACACTCTGGTCAAGCCAACACGCCATCACAGGGGCGATACAGAGACACACTTAAAAAACAACAATGAACCCACACACTCAGTCTGAAGCTTAATTTAGACCGACTAATTAACTTGTTCATGTTTCTGGAACAAGAGATGAAGCCTAAGAATCTGAAAGGAGGAGGCACATCATGTTGACAACAAGCAAGCTGCGTGCTGAAAGGCCCCAGGACATGACTGAGAAGAGGACCTTTACAGCTGTGCCACATCACAGCCTGCAAAGTATTTCTTACAGAACTCATCATCAAATGAGATGTGAGGGGATGATG